CCCCCCCCCCCCCCCCCCCCCCCTTTTTTTTTTTTTTCTTTCTTGCTTTGCAGATTTTTGTTAATGGGTGCAGAGACTCTTTGATGTCCGTGTTTACATTTCACACAATTTAACTTCATCACGTATGCAGAAATGCTCAGAGCTCTGCTTTCTGTCCACAGCTGGTTGCAAAGTTCAAATTCAAATGGTTTACTTTTTATTTTAATCGCTGTATGCATCCATAAATGATCATATAACAGGGAAGATTCTTTTTATTTTAGAAATCATTTAAGCCTAAACAAACTAGCACATGTAATAATACGCAATGCTGAGTCCAAACAATATCCAATTGAAATGTACTGTATTTATTCATGTATAATAATATAAATTTACCCTAGAAATCATCCATAAAGTGTGGGGTAGTATTATACACAGGTTATTGATGATTAAATTATTAATGCTTTTTAAGCTAAAAAATGATGATTACATGATACATGAATAAATACGGTATTTTATTTTTTACATTTAGAGGTTGTTTTATTGACCTTTATTTCACCAGATAAATCCCATTGATATCACAGATCTGAACCTGAATGCAACCTATTCTACATGTTTTAAGTTGTGTTACAAAAGCTTAATGGCTAAACATTGAAAGAAAAAACACAAAGTGATCAGTAAAAGCTTCTACGAGCTAAACTTAATAAATGATGTCCTCATCTTTCATTCATGTGCAGCACGTTGTTCAAAGTCCTGCTTCTCCTCCGGTGGTCCTGAGGAGCAAAATACCACCAGAAAGAAGAAAAGGCAACAAGCGACACTAGATTTTCTTTTAAAAAATTAAATAAAATTAAGTAGTAGTTTCCAGTGCAAAAAAAAAAAAAACAAATTCAGAGAAAAGTAAATATTTAAATATTGCCTTGCTGAAAATTTGTGATTAAAATAATAAATAAAACACAAAAAAGTTAGAATCTCTTATGTTTTTGAACCCTCACAATACTTATATGAACCTGTTATGCACACTGCTTTACAATTTTGTGATGAAGTTTATTAAATCAAACGATTACATAAATGTAAAATGTATGAAAGGTACTTTATAATTTACGTCTCCACTGCTTAGGGAGGCTTCAAATGTCCTTCTACAAGTCGTACTTGATAGAAACACGAAGGAATTGTTGAAAGTCCAGTTTTCTCGTGTAGTGATGGCGTCACCTGTTCTAATGTTCTCTGCACAGACACAGTTCCTGAAAAATGTTTTTTGTCTTTAACCTACCTGGATGAGACGTCAAACAAAACAGTTTCTCAGATATCTTTCCTGTGTTTTCCCTTGCTCACCTGAACTCTGTGGTTTCTCTCCTTATTTATTTTTATTATTTTGTTCGTCAGGCGAAGAAGCCATGTTTTTATCAAAAACTTCAATCTGGAGATATAGTTTTTACAGGCGAACCTGGCCAAATGTTTCTCTGGTGAATGTTTTTTTTTTTAATTTATTTTTTGTCTTCGTCATCAACCACAGACCACACATGCTCTGACAGACCCACCCTGTCAGGACCCATGTTACCCAGGCAGAGGTGAGTCGTCAGCACCGACGCTAATAGGCTTGTAATGATGCCGATCCATTACGGAGCACTGCAGAGTCTCTACTGTTGTTTTCTAGTCATTCATTAAGAGCAGCCTGGGAAGACACGCTGTACCACCCTGAGTAAAGGCACTGACAATTTACAATTTCTCTGTGTGTGTGTGTGTGTGTGTTCTCTTTTGGGCATCTTAACTTGCTTTAACAGACTCACACACATTCCTCTCCACTTGCTTGTTCGCTTTGAACCAAGCCGCAAGCGTTTGATGTGAAACTCCGGCGCAATTTCTCTTCCTCGCCAACATATTAACCAGAACCTGCCTGGCCGTTTTTCAGAGACATTCCGCTCGGGGTTTTGTAATCGCTGCAGTGGTCATCGAGGAGAGAGAGAGGGGGGGAAACGGTGATGAATTTGATGCTGAGAACAATCAAACATAGGTATGGGATGAATCCATCACCCCGCGCTCAAAAGAGAGCAACCGGAGGCCCCGCTTTCCGGATGGTTTTAACAAAAAAGGAAGAGAAAACCTCATGAATTTTTTTAATGCGCACAAATAAATTCCTTTAATCTCGCTACCATTGCTTTCTCCACTCGGTGCAAAAAAAAAGTTGAGAGGGAGCTGTCAAGTTTGGAGAGGACTTGAAAAAAGGAGGAAATTGTGTGGCTTGGATTTCTTTGCTTTTACACTTTGAGAAGGTCAGCTGAGGGAATTACTGTATCACGCAGCTGAAAAATAACCTTCCTTATTGTGCACATCTCAGCTGCAGCTCGTTGCTTTAAAGCAGTGGATTATGTTGAACGTTGTGAATAATGTCTTACAGCTGGCCCATTTTATTTTAATATGCAACTTTTTTTGGCTGTTTTTTTCTATTTGAATGTTTTATCTTTTAAATAAAATGTAAAAACTGCAGTGAGTTGGCTTTTATGTTGAGATCCCAGAACAGACCAATAATTTATATTTCTTTTTCTGATCTTGTGTAATATTTTATTTTACAGATCAGGACAAATATTTAGTTTTCAGCATGTTTTTACGTGTTTAAATTTCTAGTGATGAAACTAACTTTTTAATCAAACAGCAGTAATTTTCACACAAGCTGACATGTATAACTTAAACTTGCATTTTTCATTGCAATACACAAATGACGTGAGCACATTTTAAATTACCGTGTTCATCTTTTTTTCTGAAGCTTGCAGTGTTTAATAAAATAAAACTAAGGCAACTTAACAGTTTCAAAATGTGGTTTTTTTTTTTCAATGATAAACTGAGCCTTTCAATGAATATTTACATTAAATGCAGCCAAACTCTGAACTTGATGCCTACATGCATCTGCATCAATCTATTCAAAGTATTCAGAAGAAAATGCATCAGAGAAATCAAATGGCAAGCAGAAGGATCACATGGACAGCTGCAGTTATACGTGCATTTGTGAGGTTTCAGGGGAAAGATTACAGAACTGCAGTTTGATTACAAGCATGAGAAGCTTTAGGTCAGCAGATCTAAGGTGTAGAACAAATATAACTCCAGAACAACAACAGATCATCAGCATGAGCTCATCCTCAGCCAGATGCTTTATTGCCTAAAACATTTGGCTCACGTTGAGCTTTTTGTGTTTTTTTAAACTACAGTCTGTGTGTTGGTGCTGCAGTTTGTTGCCTTGCAGCAAACCTGTGTTTGCCTGTTCTTGTCCAACAGTCTAAAAACATGAATGATGTGTTCAATACAGATTCTGCATTGGTGTGAAACAGCTATTTGTCTTTATGTTGGCCTGTGATGGATGGCAACTTGTCCAGGGTGTCCACCTTTGGAAATGGGACCAACTCCCCACATCCAGATGGATGGATGGATGGACGGATGGATGGATGGATGGACGGATGGATGGATGGATGGAAAGATGGATGGATGGACGGACGGACAGATGGATGGATGGATGGATGGGTGGACGGACGGACAGATGGATGGATGGATGGATGGATGGATGGACGGACGGATGGATGGCTGGAAAGATGGACGGACAGATGGATGGGTGGAAAGATGGACGGACAGACGGATGGATGGATAGATGGATGGAAAGATGGACAGATGGATGGATGGATGGATGGAAAGGTGGATGGATGGATGGAAAGTTGGATGGATGGAAAGATGGACTGATGGATGGATGGAAAGGTGGATGGATGGATAGAAAGTTGGAAGGAAGGAAGGAAGGAAGGAAGGAAGGAAGGAAGGAAGGAAGGAAGGAAGGATGGATGGATGGATGGATGGATGGAAAAGATGGGTGGATTGATGGATGGATGGACAGATGGATGAATGGATGGATGGATGAGTGGATTGATGGATGGATGGACAGATGGATGAATGGATGAGTGGATTGATGGATGGATGGATGGATGGATGGATGGATGGATGGATGGAAAATTGGATGGATGGATGGATGAATGGAAAGTTGGATAAATGGATGGATGAATGGAAATTTGGATAAATGGATGGATGAATGGAAAGTTGGATGGATGGATGGATGGATGAATAGAAAGATGGATGGATGGATGGATGGATGAATGAACACTGATTTAGTAACTCTGGCAAATCCTCTTTTCCACTACACATTTACTGTGGTCAACAATTAATTTTTCCGGGTTTTTATTTTGTTTACATATTTAAAATTAAAAAACTGTTAAAACTACTTTTGATTTTTGTTACGTTTAGTCTTGTTCTTCTTATAAACTGTATAAAAAAACTTTGAAGAAGTAGCGATAAAGTCAGTTACCAGTTAGCCTAAAGGCTTATTTCCAGTCGTTTTCCTCAGACAGATGTTACAAATCACCCTAAAAACTAAATAAAACTTTAAATCAATCAAATTAAATTGAACTAAATTATTCAATCCCTATAAGTGTATATATATAGATAAAAATAAAATAAAAAACGCCAAGAATTTTTAAAGATTTTCCATCATCTAAAGCTGTACCACTTTAAATACTACATTTACATAAGCATCTATTTAAAAAGTACATTTATAAGAACCAGGTCTGGATCCACAAACAGAACTAACTTCTGTAATAAGTACAATTCAATAGAATCCAAACAATTTATCAAAAAAGGCTTTAACCTTTTCAATCTCTGTTTTAACATGTCATTATGAGCTGTACTAATAAGCATGTCTATAATCTGTTACATGTTATTACTAATATATAAACATGTGTAACATGGACAAGAAACAGTTAATTGTTGAACACTTATTTGACTACTGGTTTTAGATCTGAACAGCGCTTATAAAGTGTTTCCACGTGTTATTTTTAAGTAATTTTTTAAATTTTATTTTTCTGAAAATTATTGCTTGCATTAAAAACAAAGTGAAACACATGTTTGTGTGTTCACGTATCAAACACAAGCACAAGAAGACTCTCCTGTGGGGCTGTCAGGGGTCAACTTTCTGCCCTGCAACCTCTCAGTCGTGTCCCACGAGGCCGAGCGCTGACAGTGGCCCAAGGCGCTTCCACGCTGCATGGGATTCTCCTTACGCGCGCCCACACACACACACACACACACAAACACACACACACACTTACAGACCACTTTAATGATTGCCAGGTGGGGCGAAGTCACTACCTGCAGTTGCAGCTCTGCTTTTCTATTCACACCATTTTTCTGTGTGTGTGTGTGTGTGTGTGTGTGTGTG